AGAATAAGTTTTCGTATGCCTTTCCGCAAGAGTTTCCCTATCGAATCAATCACGTCCTCGAATGCGAATTCTATCTCTTGGAAATGATGGTCAGTATTGCTATTCAATTGTATCTTTAATTGAACTCTATTTAATTGCTTTTTGTATAGGATTGCTGTCTAGTGTTATACCATCCCTATCGACCTCTTCTGCAATATATTCATGAATGGAATAATAAGGAGACAATTCTTCCGACCGCTTGGTATTCACACATCTTTGCTCTATTTGTTTGTAAATTTACTTTAATATGTATTTTGTTTGGTTAGGAATGTGGTGAACGATAGCTACAGAACAGGTATGTATTATGCAATGTAATTGTAGATATTGTCAAACCATAATGACATTGATTGATTTGAAATGACAGACATCTGTTTGCTGTACGCACCCCATCAGATAGCGTTGGGTAAGGCCCCAAACTGACCATTCTCTCACTCATTATAGCCAGTATTATTGATACCGTAGTCACAATATTTTACCATTTATAGCATGTCTTCATATGGCGTGTGTTATCACTCAACGAGATTATAAGCAATGGTTCGCTGAATTGAACATTGATTTAGACAAAGTAACGTTTTTATCACGAGTTTGAAACTGTTTTATTGATTGTATGCTTATTCTGGTATCAGATCTTAGAGATTACGCGACATATTCTTAACTTATATGAGTTGTGGAAGAATTTTGATGAGAAAAAAGAGATCCCAGCGCTGTATGTATTGTGTGAATCAATTACAATCATAAATAACACTTGTATTATCCCATAGATTGGCAAAAATGCCTAAACCCAAGTGCCAAACATCGAGGTAATTCTTATCGATTTCTATTCCTCTATTAGTTTAGACAAATTGGTTTAAAAAGAGCTTAAATTGTGGCACATTTGCAACAAGTGTTAAATTTATTTTGTATTAAACTATTATGAAAACCTATGTGCCATTGAAAGCATAATTATTGTCAATTAAATAATGATTTGAATCTACACTACACTGTAATGAGTGTCCAATACTTAAACATTTTTCCCAATCCTAGGCCTCCTTCACAGGGAGGGTCTCAGAGCGAAGGCCAGAACTCAAGCCAACCGCAAGGTTCACAAAACTCATCCACAGCTTCTAATTTAACGCAAACCAACAACTGATCCAACCGTTCATTCACTTCACATAACATTTATCATTCATTTGTAAACCATTTCATTCGCCGTTACAACTGATCCATTTACGGATCACTTGTCTTGTGTACCAGTGCTTCATTCCAGTGATAAAAAGCAATTCTTAATTGATATCAATTTTATTTTTCTAATATTGTTAAATATCAAAACAAATCAGTGCTCATTTGGTCTCGTCTTTCACTTCTTTCTTTCCACCTCTTATACGACCGGTACGTCTGGCGGCGATGAGACCCACTTTACGTCCAGCGCTGGCATCTCTCCTAACAGTGGACGCGTGTCCGATGTGTTGGTGATTACCGCCTCCGTGCGGATGTTCCACAGGATTCATAGCCACTCCTCGAACTTTAGGCCAGCAGTTCCTCTTAGCCTTGTATTTGTGATACGCGCGGCCGGCCTTCAGGATTGGTTTGTCAATACGTCCGCCGCCGGCAATAATGCCAACCATTCCTCTGTTGGTGGAAGGAACCACTTTCTTGGCCCCGGACGGCAACTTTACTCGTGTTTTCTGCGCAAATCAATCATTAGAAAGCATTCAAAAGCAACAAAAAGAGTGCATTACTCGTGTGTCTGTGTTGTGAGAGATAACAGTGGCGTAATTGCCTGACGCGCGGGCAATGCGACCGCGATCTCCGGCCTTCTCTTCGAGATTGCAGACCACAGTTCCCTCAGGCATAGTGCCGATGGGCAACACATTGCCGATCTGAAGGGTGGCCTTCCGGCCGCAGTACACGAACTGTCCCGTATACATGCCCTCCGCCGCCAG